GCCCCCCCCCCGCCCCAGGTGGTTCTGCCACGTCGACGATGATAACTACGTCAACGTGCGGGCCCTGCTGCGCCTGCTGGCCAGCTACCCGCACACGCAGGACGTGTACATCGGCAAGCCCAGCCTGGACAGGCCCATCCAGGCCACCGAGAGGGTCAGCGAGACCAAGACGGTGAGTGGGCTGCCCACACACATCGGGCACCTGGGGAGGAGGCTGAGGGTCCCCGCAGCCTGGCATGGGTCTCACCACTTTCCCTGGCCCTGCAGCGTCCCGTCCACTTCTGGTTTGCCACGGGCGGAGCTGGCTTCTGCATCAGCCGTGGGCTGGCCCTGAAGATGAGCCCGTGGGCCAGGTAAGTGCCCTGGGGCATAGGTGAGGCTGCTTGACCTGCCAGGTTGCCCTCGGTCCTGAGGGCCCCCCAAGTGGGGCCTGGCTTGGTTCATCTTCCCAGCAGCAGGTGGCCCGAACCTCACATGGTTCCGACCACTTCCCACCTCCTGCAGGCAGGCACCAAGGTGTTAGCACCAGGGCCAGGCGCCCTTGGGCAAGACCCCTTGCAGCACCAGCAACTCCTGGCTCACAGGAAAGCACCAGGCTGGCACAGAGCAGGGTGCGGTGTTGGGCTCAGGGAGCGAGGGGAGAGCTGCAGGTAGACGGCTCCTTAGGGACACAGTCGGAGTCTGCACCCCGCTCCACAGGGCTCGTCCGCCTCCTCTCTGAGCCCGGCTCCTCCACCCTGTGCGGCCTCTGCCGGGCGGGGCCCTGCCCGGCTCCCGGTGGGCAGCAGGCTCCCGCCTCTGCTCATATTGCAGCCCTTCGCTCCCACAGCGGGGGCCACTTCATGAGCACGGCTGAGCGGATCCGGCTGCCAGACGACTGCACCGTGGGCTACATTGTGGAGGCCCTGCTGGGTGTGCCCCTCATCCGCAGCGGGCTCTTCCACTCCCACCTGGAGAACCTGCAGCAGGTGCCCACCTCGGAGCTCCGCGAGCAGGTGCGCCGGCCCCGGAAGGGCGGGTGCAGGAGGGAGGGGGGAGGTCACTCTAAGCAGGGGAGTCAGGAAGGGCCCCACTGTTGGCTGCCGCCCAGGCACCCACATCCCCCTACCGGCATGGACCCCCCTGAAACGCTCTTGTCCACTCTCCCCATTGTTCGTCTTCACCCTCACTCCTGCGCTGTGCCTTTCGGGTCCTTTCCTGTAGCTGAAGGCCTCTCTCTCTCACAGTACCTTGGACTTTATTCCTGGGGTGCGCAGAGCCAGTGGGGTGTGGTGCCACGTGGCCCATCCGCCTTCCTTCTTGGCCCGAGGCAGGCAGAGGCAAGCAGTTCCCTGCTTCAGAGCCACGTGGCCAGCCTTGGGCAGAGCCAGGGTGTTGGGCCCTGCCCAGCGCTACTCTGCCCCTCTCCACACAGGTGACCCTGAGCTATGGGACGTTTGAAAACAAGCGGAATGCGGTCCACATTAAGGGGCCCTTCTCAGTGGAGGCGGACCCATCCAGGTGAGGAAGCAGGCCCAGGTGGGCGCAGCTTACCCAGAGTCCCCTGGGGCTCTGGTGGAGGTGGGGCTGGATGTGGCTCAGCAGCTGGACTATAAAGAGCACCTTCAGGACCCCCGGTCAGGGCAGAGGAGGGCCCTCTGGTGCTGTGGGACCCCATCCCACACGGACCAGCCCCCTACTCTGTCCCCACAGGTTCCGCTCCATCCACTGCCACCTGTACCCGGACACACCCTGGTGTCCCCGCACTGCCAGCTTCTAGCAGCCTCGGCTGAGACCCCGTCCCCGGGCGCCCCTGGTATCCAAAGGGCCCGGGGACCCCTGTTGTGCCACCCTGGCCTTGTCATTTGAGGCTCCCAGGGCTGTGCCTCCTTGAGTGTACTGTGTGCCCACCTGTGTGGCAGGCTGCTGGGCAGCTCTGCTCTGCCGAGGAGCTGGCACTGGTGTCCCTGTCAGCCTCTCCTGCTCCACAGGTCAGCGGGCTCCGGAGCCCAGGCCTGGAAGGATTTATCTGTCAGCGGCCACTGTGAGGACAGTTTATATCACTCGTGGGGTCTGTGGGCAGCGTGGGAGTCAGGGCTGCTCTGCCCGGCTGTGCAGGTGCCCGTCTCCTGCTGCTGATACAGCCCTGTGCCCAGGCACCTGCCTCAGAGCCCCCAGGACCACTGAGCCCTACAAGGAAGCTGGGTTTTTGGGGGCAGTGGCCTGGTTACCTCCTCTGGCCCCTGCCCAGGTCCAGTGTCCCCAGGAAGCCCCCAGTGGCTGTGCAGCTGGGTGGACAGTGGCTCCCCCAGCCCTCTGGGCGGGGGTCTTCCTGGCCCTCTCAGAGGTCTTCTTCCCTTTGTCTCCCCGAGGTGGGGAGTCAGAGCTGAGCATTTAGTCCCTCTCCAAAGTAGAGAGAAAGTCGCCCATAGTGGGCGTATCTGTAAATATTGTGACAGTATTTTTTTACTGTGCTTGTTTTTCAGAAGGGGATGGGTAAAAAGTAGGGTGTCTTGTCTTTGTTTTGGGGGGATGGGGGAGGGTGTTATTTTATCTTTTCTGTGGATCAGAAAAAGCAGAAGCCAGGCTGGGGATCCCCCTTCGTGGCTGAAGCCGGAAACGTCTAACACTCCAAGTATTTATGTGTCCCGGTGTCCGGACTCTCCCATCGGACCTGCCTCCCGCTGCCGCCTCGCACACCTAGCTGGGCGCGTGTCCTGTCTCCTGTTTTTCTTTCTGCAAAGACATAGCTAGGAAAGTGAGCGATAAGGGAAAAGTTCTCAGGGAATGGCAGTGTGGTTGCTATGGTGATGTCCTTGGCTGTGAATAAAGATGCTCTTTGGGGCAGTGCTCTTGGGGGTCCTGGTCTGTGTGGAAAGGCTCCAGGGGGCTGCGGCTTGGCTCTGTGCGCTCACGGTGGGGAGGTGAGGAGAGAAGGGACCCTCTGTGGCCTGGGACCTCCTTACCTAGCTTCATTCATACCCTTCACATACCCACAGAGGCCATGTCCGTGTCCCATTTTGCAGATGGGGAAACTGAGGCCTGGAGCGGTGATGCCTAAGGTCAGGCCTCTGGGGTGGTGAAGGGCTTACACTCGGAGGCCAAGCAGCCCTGGACCTTGGCCTCCCCTGGTCTCACCCTCTCCTCCGTGGAAGGGCTGCATCTTGGCCCACCCCGGACAGGTCCCGGGAGCTGGGTGAGGATTCTGAAAGTGGCTGAGGAGGCAGGAGTGTGAGGGGCTGCCTGCCCCCCACAGCTAGGGGATTCCCTGCCCACCCCTCCAGAGCAGCCTGGGCAGCCTCCTTCCTCTTCTTTCCCAGCCTCCCTGCCCTGCTCCTGGCCTCCAGCTGCCCTCAAGCAGGCCTGGGGCTCCAAGCTCCCTCCCCCACCTGCACCCTGCTCCAAGCTTAGCCCGCGCAATGCATCAGAAAGCAACCCAGTGCCACCCCACCCCGACCTCCTGGGGGCAGAATGCCAGCCCCGCCCCCACCAGCCACTTGCTCACATCCTCAGCTCCCCAGGCTGCGCTGGGGAGGGCCCCCTTCTGCACAGCCCTGGCTGGTGGCTGCCCTGGCCTGTGGGTGCCTGGTTGGGGCTTGACCCCACCTGGCCATGGACAGGCCTGAGTCAGCATAGACGGCCTTGGTGTGACGGAGACAGTGAGGGAAGGAGTGTGACCTCTGTGGTCTCTGGGCACCACTGTTCTACGCCTGGGGGTGGGGGGGAGTGCAGCAGCAGCCATCTCATCGGAGGGTGAGGGGAAGTGACACAGAGCAGCTGCCGAGTGCGAGTGCGGGCAGAGCCATGGGCCTCTTTCCTGCCTGGGTGAGTCAGAGGTGCCTTTGGCCAAGTCAGACCCAGGGCCACCTGTGGCAGCTGGCATGGTCTCCACAGAGCTGGGGGGCCCCCGGGCACAGATGTGGCAGGTGGAATCCTCGATAGAGTCAGGGTCGTCCCAACTGTCCCTGTGTGTGGAGGGGTACTGGTGGGGAGAGCAGAGCAGAGGGCACTGGGCAGGGTGGGGAGGAGGTCCTGCCCTCCCAGAGCCTCGACATTGCCATCTGAGCAATGGGGACAAGTGCAAATGCAGCTTAATTCCTGGTGCTCTGGGCCTGGGAGGGGCACGGAGGAGTCCAGGCCAGTGACTCTGTGGCCTCTTCTCTAAATGAGAAGCTGGGGGGGAGGGGGGAGGGAAGTTCTCTATCCTCAAGGGGAAGCGGGCCCAGGAGGGGCCCACAGGAACTGGGGAAGGGAGCCTCCCCCAGTGATGAGTCATGGAGCCAGGAGAGGGGACCTTGGCAAGCCCCACCCTCCAGGGGCATCATTGTCCCCAACCTACACACACTGGGGATGACTAGTTGGACAGGGTTCTGCCCCTCCCAAGGGGCTCCACATCCCGTGGCCTGGCCCAGCCTGATTTTCCCTCAAACGCTGGTCAGTCACGGCTTTAAAAAATAAAAGGTGAGCCCAGTCGGGCGTGGCTCAGCAGTTGAGCATCAACTTAGGATCCAGGACATCACAGTCCGATTCCTGGTCAGGGCACAGGCCAGGCTGTCGGCTTGATCCCCAGCCGGGGGCATGCAGGAGGCAGCCCATCAATGACTCTCATCATCGATGTTTCTGTCTCTCTCCCTCTCCCTTCCTCTCTCTGAAATCAATAAAGATATATTTAAAAAAATAAAAGGTGAAACCTTGTGCTGGGGGCCGCTGGTGCTCGCCTCCCCCCGACTTCTGGGCTGCCAGGGCAGCGGGTGTCAGGTCTGGAAAAGGCTGAGGGGTGCCAAGGTGGGGTCCCTCTCTGCCCAGTTTAAACTTCCTGCCACTGTACCACCATGGCCAGCTTCCTGGAGGTGGCATCTGAGCTGGAGCAGGAAGGCTCTGCCGAACCTAAGTGCCCAGAGGCAGGCGCTCCAGGCCCCAGCACAAGCAGGCGAAAGTGGCCCCGTCAGACCAGCGTGCCTGCAAGGCTGGGACACAGGGCAGCGTGGGTCTCCAGAACACTCGTGCAGAAGCCCTGACCAGCCCCAGCAAGCTAGGCCTTCATAGACCCCGCTAAGGGCTGCAGCCAGCCTTGCCCTCCCTGGGACCGGGGTCGAGGGGAAGTGGGTGGCCAGGGCCAGCCTCGTCCCTTTGTCTGTCAGACCAGCTGGCCAGTTCCGCTGCTGCCCCAGGCCCGTCTTCCCAGCTCCAGCCTTGCCAAATGGTCTTGGAGGTGATCCCCTCCCATGCCCTTTCTGAGCCCCGGGCCAGACACACAGGAGGCACCTGGTACATGGCAAGGAGGGACCCAGGCCCCTGGAGGCTGCCCAGACTATATTGCCACACTGAGTTTGGGGGCTCAGAGCCCCCACCCCAGGCCTCCGGGACCCCTTCATCTACAACTTACATGGACCTTGGGCGCCAGCTGGTGGCCAGAGATGGTGGCTTCTCTCTCTGCCTGAACCCTCCTTTCCCAGGACCTGGGCCAGTCTCCAGGGCACAGCCCCACGGGGCTGGGAGGAGAGGCCCTCTCTACAGCCCCCCGCCCATGCTTGCTCTTAAAGGCCCACATCATGAATCTTAATGTTACCACCAACACTTGGGCCATGCAATATGTGTAATGTCTAGAGGCAAGCCTGAGCTGCAGGCCACCCAGGCCATTCCTGCCACTGTATTGTCCCCTGGCTCTGGGGCATCTCCTCGCGGCCATCCCAGCGGAGTCCCCGGACCCTCGATCTCAGTTGGCTGACTGCTCACTTCCTGCTCTAGGGTGGGAGTCACAGCTGAGCCCCAGGCCAGCAGCGGCAACTAGGGACTTGCTGGAAATGCCGGTTCTCGGGCCACCCCCTGCCCATTGGGGATTGTGGAGTGGGTCCCGGATAGTCTCTGTCCACCAGCCGGCCCTGGTCTCTCGTCCTCGGAGGACGCTGCCCAGGCCTTGCCTACCCCACAGCAGCAGGACACCCACTCTGCCTCCCCCTCCTCTGTCCAGCTGCCTCCCTCCGATTTCCTGACCCCACTGGATCCTCACCCTTCAAGTCCTCCCCTGCCTGAAACCCCAGGTCCGGTCACGCCCTTGAACTCACCTTCTCCCTTGGCCTCTCGTTTCTACACCCTCTGGGCCAAGCCTCTGGCCTGACCTGTTTCACCCAGGCCTCCCTGCTCAGCACCCACGCCCGAGCAGCCGGAGGAAGACACTCCCCTGGCCAGTCTTACCCTGAGCTCCAGACCAGAAGCCTCGGGCCCCCAGGTCCCTGCCCTGCTCTTCCACAGTCCCAGGTGACACCCTACCACCTCCCCTCCAGCCTCCCTCGCCTGCCCACCCCTACCAGCATTTGACATGGACCCTCCACACTGTCTCCATGAGGCTCCCAGGACATCTACCGTCCTTGGCTTCCTCCCACCTCACCGGTCACTGCTTTGCCCTCCTAGACCTCGGACACTGGGGCCCTGGCTGGGTCCTTGGTCCTGCTGTCTCCTCTTCAGCACCCATTCCTGGAGGATGTCCCCCAGGCTCTGGCTTCAGACACAGTATCTATGCCAGAGACTCCAGCTGCCCATCTCCACCCAGAGCGCTCCCCGATCCCAGACTCGTCCAACCATGCTCTCCTCACACCTCTCGGGGTGTCTAATAAATTAAATCTCACGCTCAACATGTTCCAAGTTGAACCTCTGACCTTTCCTCGTCCATCTCAAATTATGACAACAAATCCCCTACTAGCTCAACCCAAACCCTACACCGTGCACAGTGAGTCCCTTCCTGTCACCTCTCCTGGTGGTGGTAGTGGGGCCTCTGTGCAGCACCATGTCCCCTCGGGCACCCTATTGCATATCCAGATTGCAAAAAGAGCTTTTAAAACGGCCATGGGACAGCAGGCCCTGCCCCAGACCCTGGCCATGAGACAAACCTTCCGCTGCAACTCGGCTAACCAGAGGCCCTGCCCCCACACCCTGGGTCCGCTGCCCACCCTACTCCGCTTCCCCAGCCCCAGGGTCCACGCACGTGGCCGCTCTGCCCATAGACTCTGGTGGGAGCCAAAAAAAACTCAGGAAGAGAGGATTGTTTTTAAAAATTTGTTTATTTTAAAACATGAAACTCAAGCGGAATAGAAACCACAGTAATTACATTGACGAGATTTTAGTATTTGCCAAGAAAAATAAAGCCCCAAAGATATAAAAATCAAACCCCAAACCCAGTTTGAAAAAAAAACAAAAAACCCCCAAAAGAACCCAGAAACAGCGACAGCACATCTAGCCATGGCCCTGGGGAGGTTGGAGGTCGAAGGTCAGTGCCCCGGTGGCTCAGGCCTCAGTCCCAGTGCACTCAGTTGTTAATTCAGGTGGGAGGGGACAGGGCCAGAAGGGGACCTGGAGGGTCGGGTCTCAAAAAAATTATATCCATAGATTATGTATAACAAAATTGAGCACATGACTGTTATGGCTAAACAACCCCCTCCCAAAACTCCCCTCCCCCACTGGGGATGCCACCCTCTCCCCCTTGGCGCTGGGCAGGGTCCTGGGTGGGGAGGGAATGGTGCTGGACTGGAATTGCATAGTGAGATGGGTGGGTGTGGCAGGGAAAGGTGTCAGGGGCCTCTGCCCAGGCCTCCCAGCTGCCCAACCTGTAGCAGCCAGGGTCCCATCAGCCAGGTGTCTCAGCTGGGCCCCGCCTCCTGCTCACCCAGCCTTGTGGGGACAGCACCCTGGTGGGCTTTGTAGCCTTCCTGCCCCCTACGAGGTCAAGGACACACACCCCCAAGATGCTGCAGGGCCTGAGGGGCCCAATGCCCACTGGTGCAGGGGTGGGAGTGGGTATGGAGAGGTCAATAGGATGGAGGATGGCTAGGAAGGGGGCCCCCAAAATAGAAAAGAAAACCAATGTGGGACCCGCACCCCCACTCCATGGACTGAGCTCAGGTTTGAACCCCTTTGGTTTTCCCCTATTCCTCAACTCAACTTCAGTGAGTGGAAGAAACTCGGGAAGTCACAGGTAAGTGGGCACCCACCCACCCACACACGCACAGCGGCCTCCCAGTCAGCACAGGCTTGGGCTGGGGCAGCCACCGCTCACACCGTCCACATTCACATTGGGGGGCCCTGCCAGCAGCTATGCGGAGCAGTGGGACCACTGGGGCCACCCTCCTGACCAGAGGCCAGGATGCTCCCACCACAGGTGGAGCCCAGGGGAGACTGGCAGGTGGGCAGTGGCCCCGCCTGTGGGGGCCTGGAGCACGTCCTGCAGTGCAGTGAGGTTCAGCCACTCCCAGGGGCCCCTCGCAGTGAGTCCACTGCCTCCCCTCCCTCCCAAGGGCAGAGGCTGCCCCAGGGTGGGCGGATGTGGCCTGGGCCCACCCTTTTGGTCCCAAACACCAGCACAAAGGAAGAAGGTCCCAGAGGAAGGGAAGGCTGCCTCTGGGAGTTAGGGCCCCTGTGTCTCTAGACTGCCCGCCAGCTGCCTGGCTCCTGCTGTGGGACCCTGGCCTGGGGCCTCACACTGGCTGCTGGGTGGCCCTCTGCTGCCTCTGGCCTGGCACCTGGCCTCTCTGAGAGGCTGGCCAAGCCAGAGCTGGGGCTGGCCGGGGGCTTCCTGTCCTGACTTGGGGCTGGCCCCGCTCCGTGGCAGGAAACAGCAAACATTGTACACAAAAGCCAAAAGCACCTTAGGGAGGCCTTGCTCCCGCTTCACAGGTAGGGAGACCGAGGCACAGGGACCTCGGTCCTACAGCCCAATCCTCTTGGGGCAGCACCCACTGGGGAGGGCTCTCAGGGCCTTGGGCTGCCCATCGGTCTATGCCCGCCAGCAGTGCCCCAAGAAGAAACAGCTACTCCAGCCTGACTCCCGGCTGGTGGTCCTGGATTCCGGGTCACACTCGCCGGCTCGGCTGCAATACCAGGGCCGCTGGGGTGAGGTTAGTGGTTAGTCCCAGGGGAGGCAAGGGCCAAGGGCTCATTCACAGGCAGCTCAGGTCCAGCCCCCGAGGCCTGGCTCCAGGACACGGCACCTGTCCTGGACGGAAAGGGGACCAGGAGGGAGTGTGCTCCGCCAGCAGCCCGCAGCCTGCCTACCCTAGAGATGACGAGTGTGGTTAGTGCAAAGAACGAACCGGTGGAACAAGCTGCCACGTCTGGGGGGGCGGGGAGAGGGTTTGGCACCAAGAAGGTGGCCAGCACTGGTGAGCGGCCTAGGCTCGGGGTGACACCTGTCCTCCTGCCGCTGTGGAGGGCCAGGTGCCGGGGGTGCTGAGGGAGAGAGCGAGGCTGGGTGGAGGCAGGTAAGGTGGGATCCTGGGAGGCTTCTGGCAACTGGCAGGAGGGGCCTGTGGTCAGAAGAGGAGAGAAAGAGGGAGCCACAGACACCAGAGAAGCAAGGCGGTACCAGCAACAGGAGCAGTAAGTGACCACAGAAGCATCAGGGCTGCGGGGGGAAGGTGGGCGCTGTGAGCCGGGAGACCGCAGGGTCCCAAGGGTGTCCAAGCTGCAAGGGGCGTCGGGGACACAGCACCGCTGCCTGGCCCAGAGTGGGGCCCTGTGAACCAGAATCCTCGGAGGGCAGAGGGCGTGGGGGTAGGGCCGCAAGGGCCCTGGTGTCCGTGGCAGCCCTCCCACGGGTCCCAGCACGGAACCCAAGGACAGGGTGAGGCCCAGAGCTCCCGCATCTCCACCGGCTCCTGCAGGAAGGGAGGGGAGAGCGAGGGGCCTGGCACCATGCGGAGGGTCTGGCGGGCGGCCTTGGCATCATGGAAGCAGCAGTGCTGGCTGGGGGAGGAGCAGGGTGATTGGCACATGGGGCGGTGACTGGCCGGGCGGTCTAGTGGCCGCTGCCGCTGGAGTCGGGGCGAGGCTGGCTCGTGGCGAGGTATTTGGCTCTCATGCTGGATGTGTACTGCAGGGAGACAGGGAAGTGGTGGTGAGCAGGGCATCGGCATGGCTGGGCATGGGCCTTGGGGGACAAGCCAGAAGCACCCCCGGGGGCAGGATGGGCCAGGACAGCACGGCTGGCAGCCCCAGGGGAGGGCTTGGGAGTGGCCAGCTGGCCCAGTGCCGGGACTGTGAATCCCCGAGGGCCCCAGATACAGGATGGGGACCAGCCTCCTGTCCCAATGAAATGAGCACACTCAGCCCCATCCCTGTCTTGGGCATGTGAGCACTGTGCCAGGCAGAGCTCTGCCCCACCTGAAAAGCAGGAGCTCAGAGGCCTCCCAAACCCAGGACCTGAAGGTCACACACAGGCTGTCCTCCCCCTGCAGGACCCTGCTGAGGGGCCGTGAGCAGAGCTCCATTCGGGGGGGGGGCAGGCTGTGTCCCAGGATGGCAGATGGTCCACGAGGGTCCAGAGCAGGAGGGTCCCCAAGGCTGAGGTGATGCTGTGGCCCACTCAGGGGGGGACCAGTGGTGGTCTCCTCCCAGGTCATAGACGCAGGGACAGAGGCGACCGGGGAGGGGATGGCCTGCACGTTTCAGCTACCCTTGTCCAACCTGAAGCACAAGGGCCTCCCTCAGTGCACATGCGTGTGTATGCTCGTGTGCATGTGTGTGCTTGTGCTCACAAACACATGTGGAGGATGCATGTGCAAAAGGTCACATGCCTGGGGGGGGACAAAAGGCCAAGACATGTGCCCAGCTCACCAGTGGTTAAGGAGTCTGGTAGCTGACTCCATAGCCACACACTAACCCACCCCACAGCCCCCAGATCAGGAGGCACAATGCCCCCTGGTCCTGAGAACCCTCCCAGAACTCCAGGTGGGCAGAAGGTTGTGGGTGCCCATCAGGGGGCAGGTGGGATACGGGAGGAGCAGCGGGCACCAGGAGCCGTGTCATTCCGTGGACATGCAGCAAGGGCAGGGATGGCGGGCTGTGCCCAGACCGGAGGGAGCCCATGCAGATGCACAGCACTGTGGGGCCGGCTGGGAGCAGCCTGCACGCTCGTCTGTACCACCCACGTGTACCTCCAGACATGCAGGGCAGCACTTTAAGGGCCAGGCCTGCTGGCTGCACCCAGGAACCAGGTGCAAGCAGGCACGAGGGTCTGCTGGACAGTCTCCTTGCTGGGAGGTGACAAGAGGGGCTGTGGCCACCTACAGCTGGGCTGGGGGTGGGGAGGGGGCTCACTGCCCCTGATGTGAGGGTGATGGTCCAGAGCCAGCACCACAAGTCCCTGTGGCTGGGCTGGAGGCTATGAAGCCTGCAGGCCTGTACCTCCCCAGAGCTGGTCCCATGGCACTGACCTGGGAGAGCCCTGGGGCATGGCAGGTGGGCCCTTGGCCAGCCTGGTGAGGGGGCAGCAATGAGCAGAGGGCGTGAGGCATGGAGGCACAGGTGGGCAGGCGGTGCACAGGGCAGGGGACCCAGGTGGGTCAGTACCTGTCACTGAGGGCACGGCTGCACCGCATTCAGGCATTTTCCATGGGCTTAAACTGCCAGCCCGTGTGGCTGCCAGAGTCCAGGGCAGCCAGATAGCGCTAGGAGGGCCCGGGGTG